CTCCTCCTCCTCCTCCTATTTTCCCCCCTTCTTCTCTTCTCCTCCTTCTTTTTAATTGGTTTGCTTACAAAGGTCATAGACATTGTGTTTCACACTATTTTTCATTCACACAGTGTTTCATACAATCATTCTGATGCACTGTTTTATAAAATTATTTGAACTATTATTAGCACACAATGAAAGTAGTGCAGAAAATTATGAAATTTGATTAAGTTTCATCAAGCTGGAACTTCACTCTTTGCTGACCCTCCCATAGGTTTCCAAAGACAGTGTATACCATGGAAAGACAGTGTCAGTTTTTCTCCCAGAGGACCTGGTGGATCCAAACTACATTCCTTAGCACTAAGCACAAGAATTCCCTAAATTCAACAGTGCTAATGTGCATTTTAAAAGGCAAAAATTACAAGCTTGCCTACATCGTAGAAAATTTTAATATGCATTGATCAGTGAAGAACTCAAAATCACATAGTATTTGAACTAAGTTTAGGGGCAAAATAAAATCAATGACTTAACAATAATGAAAATCAGAATTAGAGGGAGGGATATTGTTACAGTATTTTGGGGAATGGTGCCAAGTACACAGATTTGTTTCTGATCCTGAAGTGCAAAATTTTGCACAACTTATATCCAGTGAAAAAGACAATAGTTGCTAATATCATATGTATGTTTCTATTTTTTACTTCTCATTCAGGCTGAATGGGTTAGGTAATAAGAGGCACAAGATAAAAGATATCTAAGCATAAAACTATAATGTAAAAATACATCCATGAGCAGTTGGTAATTTGCAAATAAAGGAAGAAAACAGATTTTTAAAATTCCCTTCAGATATCATCACTAAGGAAACTATTCTATACCTTAATCTTTACTTTAAAAATACTTTAAATTTCATGATCCTATAAGAAAACATAATGTACCCTTGTTATACTTGGAATCTGTGAGTATCCAAAGAAACCCAGCCCTGATCTCAGTTTAAGACTGTGGAGATTGAGGATAGTTTTAGGTTGATGTCCAAGGGAATAATTTCATGAATAAAATGTGCATTGTGCTTGAGCATCTCTTAATGATTACCAGCCATCTTGGACAAATAATAGTGTCATGATAGCACAAGTGATGAGGCATAGCATTCTGGAAGGGCAAAGTCAAGGTCAAGACTGAAAATAATAGGTGAAATTGTAATACTGGACCCTCATAATCTTATGGGTCACTGGCTAATGGAAGTGTGATGAGGTCCTTTGATAATACACCTTTGGTTAGCACATTTAAAATCCATATTAAGACCTCAAGGATGGCAGAAGGGAAATGTGTGTGTGTGTGTGTGTGTGTGTACTTTGAACATTTCAATCAAGTTTTATCAAAAGTTTAAACATTTTTCTTTGAAATTATTTAGGGTGTTTAGATTTACTTGTTTCTGAACAGCACAAGCTTACCTATTGTAACAACGAAGTTTAGTACATCACCATGCATTGTCAATTTTGTGGTTTGAGAATGCGTTGTTTCTGTGAATTCTCCTTTTAAAAAGACGTTTGATCCCTGCTCAATTATCCACTGATCCCTTTTGTAAACATCATATTCCAGCATGATTTGGATTTTTTAATTGGGAAACATCTTTCTTACTAACATGAAGACAGAAAAACCTTTGTTGATAATATTAAGAAAGTAAATATCTGTAAAGGACTCCAGTATATTATTTTATTTAAAAAAACCAGAATATGTCACAAGAAAAAAAGGCTATGTCATAAAAGAACGAACAAAGCTGTGAATTCAACTTTAAGACTTGTAAACACAGCACTTACTGTTTTATTTTTCTCATTGATAGTGCCTGTGTTCATGATCCCTCCTTCAGTCCTCTCTCTCTCACCATACTCTCTCAATGTATCCTGGGAGAAGCCAGAAGATAATGTTACAAGAGGAGAAGTTGTGCGATACATCATCACGATGATTTCTGAGCAGCCTCTTCAACAATCTATCCCAGTGGTGTCTTCACAGGTATTGTTATTTTTCAATGTTAGTCCTTTTAAAATGAAGTTTCAGCTTCCTATTCATGTTTCTGAATTTGAAGGACTTTGTGATTGACTTCTCTGTATACTCATTTAGGTAGTGCATTTTGGTATGTAACATAAGACAGTAGAACTGTGAGAGCCAGAATCTATGTAAGGTGAAAATCTAGTAGAGAAGAAAAACTCAAATTTGCTCTATTTGCACCCTCTCAAAGGTAGAACCACTGTGATGTTTTATGGAAAGAGCCTTGCTATCAAAGATTTCACTCTGTGCTCCACATCATTCAAATTTGTATTACTTATTTTTATAATATAAACATATTGAAATATAATAGTTATAATATTGCTTCATAAGACTTCATTCTTCTGTTTAACAAATATTTTCTTTTTTTAGAATAAAAGTAAATTTTTTATCCAGGAAGAATTAGCTTTATTTTAATAAAATGTTTTAATTACAAATAAGAGGCAAGAAATGAGAGATAAGGATTCTGAAGCTTCATCTTACATACTTTGGAAATGTTGCAAGGAGGGACATCATTCTTGGGAGGGCCAAGGGACAATACAAGAGAAGAACCTCAGTGCTCAATGAGATAGATTGATTCAGTGACTGGGATAATTGGGGTAGGTGTGCTGGAGACAATAAGATTGGCACAGGATAAAGCAGAGTTTAAGGCTGTTGAAGGTGACTTGACAGCACATAACAGCAACAACAATTACAAACATTGTTTAAATATAAATCTTGGGTTTGTTTTGGGGATATTTTTGTATGTTTGTTTTTATTTAACACATGTTTTTAAATACTTTATAAGAGCTGACTTGCAGGAACTGCTTATCAACATGCATTTTAGATATCCAATACTACTATTAACCAATCAACATTCATTTGTGTTTATTTAATCTTTTAGGCATATTAACAACATTGATAAGAAGATCTTATATGTAGTACAGTTTGTATATTTCTACTACCTTGGAAAATTTATAAAGAATAGAATTTACTGTAAAGAATTAGAATAGAATAGAATAGAATAGAATTTCTGAAGAACAGAATTTCTGAAGAATAGGATTTACTGTAAATGGAATAGAATTTTACTGTAAAACAGAGCTCTGTTTTATTTCAGACTGTCAGCCTCAGAGAGACTTGCCATTGTCCAAAGGTTGAGTGATTGGCAAAATAAAACAGGGGGTTTGAAGTATCTGCTTTTGCCATATATTGTTCTTCTGGTTCTGTTTATGCTCAATTTCATGTACTCAGCTCAATATTGTAATGAATTTCTGTGTATCTATCTGGTGGTCAAGTAGCATGAAGCTGCGCCGCAATCCCAAAAGCACACCTGTTGGGGAATGTTGGGAAGGAAGGGAGGGCCTCAGGCCAGGACAGATCGCCTAAGTTCCAAATAAGTGCAGGCTTCCCAATGGCCTTTAATACCGGGTAGAGAAAGCTCCCCTGTGTTTGGCTGTACCGGCTTGAGAAAGCTCGCCACCTGGGAATACAGCTGCCGCGTCTATTAAGCTGGGAGTGGTCCACGTGAGGCTGAGGTTCTCCGAACCAGTCCACATGTCTCACAGCTGTAAGCCCACCTTATGCTGTCTTTCTGTTTAAATGCTCGTATATAAGTGTACTGCAGTCCCCAATAAAGTTGAGCAGATTGGCTCTCTGATTCTCTTCCAGAGCATTGTATTTCCTTGTGCTTACCCCCATCAGGGTGTCACTGTTAGTTTCCAGCGAACGGACAGCGACACACGTGGTTGGAAGCCCAGCTACTCTGTGGGAGAAAGCTAGGCAATCTCCTCTGTGAGATTAACTGCCTCTGGAAACTTGCTGGAGAGTCAGCAATGAGTTGGTTCTGACTCTATGGTACACAATAACAACAACAATAACAACATTTGGAATTAGGATTTTAGTGTGTCTTACAAAACCCACCACAGCTGTGTGATGTTCCATGGTCAGGTATTTCATCATTTTACTGGGACCCTTGCTCACACATACATGAATTAATTGCCATCAACTCAGAGCCAATTCATAGCTGAACATCAGAAATTGTTTCAAGGCTGCAAATCAGAATAAGGAGATTGACCATTGTTTTTCCTCAGAGCTACTGGTGGATTCAAACCTTCACAGAAGTACCATCTTTGGTTAACAGTTGAATTCCCTGCACACTATGCTAGCAGAAATCCTAATATTTTTCAAACACTGGATACTTTTAATCCCAACTTCACGTTCTACTTTGTGATTATAAAAAAAAGGGGGTTCTCTATAAATGTATCACCATGTTTGCCATGATAGTTTTTCTAACAGAGTGGAGAAACTATAGAACAGTCTCATTGATTTCACATGCAAGCAAGATTCTACTGAAGATTATCCAAAAAAGGACTGGAACAGCACATCAGCAGACAACTGCAAGAAGTCCAGGCTGGGTTTAGAAGGGGTCGTGGTACTAGGGATATTGTAGCTAATGTTAGATGGATCTTATAGGAGAATGGGAATCCCAGAACACTTGATCGTGCTACTGTGAACCCTATTCTTGGACCAGGAGGCAGTCGTCAAAACAGAGCAAGGAAACACTGCATGGTTCAAAATCGGGAAGGGAAGGGCATACGCCAGGGATGTGTCCTATCTCCATGCCTTTTCATCCTGTATGCAGAACAGATTATCTGGGAGGCTGGGCTCTATGCAGAGAAGTGTGGCATCAGGATTGGTGGAAGATCTATCAACAATGTGTGTTATGCAGATGTCACAACCCTCCTTGCTGAAACTGAGGAGGACCTGAAGTGCTTGCTGCAGAGGGTCAAGGACTGAAGCCTTCAATATGGATTGAGGTTCAATATTAAGAAGACAAAGATTCTCACCACTGGACCAATTCGCAACATCAGGATGGATGGTGAAGAGATTGAGATTGTTCACAACTTTAGTTTACTTGGCTCCACAGTCAACACTCTTGGCACCTGCAGCCAGCAAATTAAAAGACGTATTGTCATGGGAAAGTCTACTGGTGGTGACCTCTCCAAAGTACTGAAGAGCAATAGTGTTACTCTGCAGACTAAAGTGCATCTGATACAGGCCATGGTCTTTGCAATCACTTGTTATGCATCAGAGAGTTGGACAATGACTAGGGAGGATAGAAGAATTGATGCCTTTGAGCTCTGGTGCTGGAGAAGAGTATTGAATGTACCATGGACTGCTAAGAAAACAGATTCATCCTAGAGAGGGTTAAACCAGGCTGCTCCTAAGAGGACAGGATCCTGAGGCTTTGTCTGACATACTTTGGACATGTTGTAAGGAGGTACCGGTCCTTGGAGAGGGACATCATGCTTGGGAGGGTGGAGGGAGCGCAGGAGGGGAAGGCCCTCTATGAGGTGGATTGATTCAGTGACTAGGGTAATTGGGATGGGTTTGTCGGAGGCAATGAGATTGTCACAGGATAGAGCAGGGTTTAGGGCTGTTCTACATAGGGAAGCTATGAATTGAAAGTGACTCGACGGCACATAACAACATAACAACCTCCATATCAAAAAATTTTTTAAACCAAATGACATGCCTGTTTGTACTAATGTCTGAATCTATTTCAGTGTCCTTTCTTGATTTGCATCCCACTCAATGCTGAAAGTATTCTGTTTTACTCAGCAAATTACCCCTATTAGTATTTTCATGTTTGCAGTGTGCTCCCATAATCTTGAGACTTTGCATTTCCTTCTTTGTGATAGTAGATACAAGGTGCAGTAATTTATCCTTTATTTTTTAATGGTTGTTTTAGTTTGTCTCAAATCACCAGGCATTTAAAACCTTTACTAATACTTTAGGTTCCATTTTGTTAGATGCTATCAAGTTGTGTATGACTCATAGCAATCACAAAAACAAAAGTTCAAAATCTTGTTATATTCTCTACCATCCTTTGCCATTTTTAAAACCATTACAATCTTCCTTTCTTATACTGATTTACTTTCCTAGCATGCTATCTTAGAAGAACTTGTATCTGTGGGCAACATGCTTAAAACATGTTAGATGATATTTTATTATCCATTCCACCCTGTTTGTACTTCTTAAAAAAAAAGACTTGTTTATTCTTTTGATATAAGGTATTATTCTGCAACACTATAATTCAAACACATCAATTCTTCCTCAGTCTTCTTATTCATTGCCCAACTTTCAGATGCATATGAAGCAACTGAAAAATACCATGACTTGGACCAAGTACACCTAAGTCTTTAAACTGACATCCTTGGTCTTAAGCACCTAACAGCAGATTTCCCCAATACAACATGTCTTTTGAATTCCTGAACTGCTGCTATCAACGCTGTTGATTGTTGATCCAAGTAAAATGAAATGGTTGATGATGTCAGTCTTTTATCCATCTATCCTGATGTCTATAGGTCCGGTTGTGAAGATTTTTTTCTTTATGTTAAAGTTCAGCCTATACTGAAAGTTTTGATCTGCTTCAGCAATTTCTTCGAGTATTTTTTACTTTCTCTAAGCAAAGTTGTGACATCTGCAAAATAGAGGTTATTAATGATATTAATAATTAATAATAACTTAAGACTGGAATGGAAAAAATTCAATATAAACAAGATAGATAGCTAGAAAATATGACTTTGGGGACAGAAATGAGTCTAGAGAGTACACAATAGAATTTTTTGTAATCAATAATTCATTGCTGTAAAAAGAGTGGATGCAATATGGGGATGGATGGAATACACAGGTCTCATATTGATAACATTTGTTAAAAGAGAGAATAGAGATACTCAATATTAGCAATTAAAAAAAGGCCAAGGTCCGCCATGGAACTACATCACCAATTCCTCATATGCAAGTTCAAAATAAAGCTGAAGAAAGTGAGAACAAGTCCATGATAGCCAAAACACCACTTTAGTTTTCTACTCCTTGAATTTAACTAAATCCCAAGAACAGAGTCAAAGCATTAAACACTGATGGCCAAAGATCAGAAAAGTTGTGGGATGACATAAACAATATAATAAATGAAAAAGCAAATGGAC